CAATGACCTGGCCCTGAAATGACCATATTTACCCCCCCCCCCGCCTCCTCCCCCAACAGCCAGGGACCTCGTAACTCACAGGAAACCGCAGGGGCAAAATGATTCAGGAAGCCTGCCTGTATAGACCCAGTCAGAACCTCGTAAGTCTCTTGTAAAACCACCACGCTGTCTCATTCTGTCCACACACAAACTTCCTAGGCGTTACTGAAACACCCATCAGATAGGCATTTGCACTTTCCGAGGTGGCTGGTGAAGTTATTATTGGATAAAATACAGACACCTTCTCCCCCAAAAAAGAAAATTCAGGGTATCTTTCTGAAAGTCAAATTTCTGTCAAGTTACTGAAAATAAATGGGACAATTGGACAGCGGTTTAAAACCTGACTACAGAGTTTTAACAACTTATTTAAAGATGCATAAATCATTGCGGCAGCACTGTCTTTCCATTACTTCTTTATTTGCCTTTTCCCAGCTCCTTTCACACTACGCCAAAATTAATTTCACTGCTTAAGAACAAATCTATCTGGCACTGGTTTATTTGATGATTTACACTAGGACTCAGTATAAACGTATTGTAACCCACCCACCACTCTTGCAATTTCATTGTGGTACCCAACAGGCGCCCTGTAAAACATCTTGATCAGATTTCCTTTGCATAATCTTACAATATCAGCAAGACTAATAGAAGGATTTTGGAGAACTTTGATTATGCTTCTTCATTAGTTGCATTTTTACCTTACAATTATTTAGGGTACAATAATGAGCAGAGTCACCACAGCTCCACATCACATTTACGTTATACTCGGACAGAACCCTTCCCCTTACTGCAAGACTGCAGTCTAAGCTTAACCCTAGTACTCTAAGCCTAAATGAGTGCTAGAAAGGACTTTGGGCCCTGTACAGGGATTAATGGACAAAAGCAAGTGGTAGGGCTCGGAGTGACTCTTTAATGGCGCAAATCTTGCCCCATCAGCCACTTGCAATGGACAATCACCCCGTTAAGAACGTTTTTATTGCACGTTAGTTTCAGACCTTGCTAGAATGTTTACTGATTGTGAGAATGCTTTCTATTGTGAGATGTTGTTTTGGAAATAAAGTTTATTTTGATAAAAAAACAAACTTGCAGATATTTGTACAACTCCTGCAGAGTGTTTATTTGGATTGTCTGGCAACCTGTGCCACAGTGACCTCGTGTGCAGTGCAGGGATCACCACATGGTGAAGGAAGCTATGTTCATTAACCATACCATAGACAGGGGCCGTGATGGGCTGTTTGTTAGTAACCTAGTGGTAATGGAAGGAAGTGTGATGTCAGTCTGAATCTTTCAGAGTTGTTAAGTATTATTTTGCCAAGTACTCAAGACTCACACATTTCATTAACCTGGTCAACGTCTCTCTAACCTTGCCTACTAACAAAAAGTAGATTTCATAGTTGTGATCACACTCTAGTTCAGTTGTGAAGTTTCAGGCACCCATAACACAATTTGATTTGTATAATGTTTGTCAGTATAATACATTTGTCAGTTGTCCATAATGTATTAATTCGAGCAGCACTCAAATCTCTGTGGTTGCCTTTATAAAGCTCAAAATAAAAATGTGATAAGTGTTGTTAAACCACGAAACAGTGGTCCCAAGTACTCCATATTATTTGACAGAGAGCTGCAAGTTCTTATTCTCTTCTAACACTAGAAGCAAGAACCCAGCAGTCAGCACAAACCTAACCTACTGTCAGCCCTTAATCACACATGCTTTCCCTTCTCCTGCAGTGCTTTGTTCGAACATGATTCCTTTTCCACTGACTCTCCCTATGGCTGTCTTGAGTCTCAGCATCCCTGCGTCAGTGAGAAGACCGATCACACCCCACCCCCAGACACACACACAACCCCTTCCCTGTGCTGTAGCCAGCATCGCAACTCGAAGGGGAAAAAGCACAGGACGAAAATGCAATGGCCACTTACTAAGTGACAAAAGGGAATGGCTGGGCCTGTGGTGCTGGGGGAAGGGTTGAGCCATGCTGTTGGGTGGTGGACAGAGCTCTTTTGCGATGAAACAGCAGCTCTGGATGAGACTACCACGCTTATAACACACAGGCGGAAAGAACTGGCAGAGAAGGGGGGAAAAAAAAACCTTTCTGGTGTTGTTTTTTATTTTCTCCCCCACTGGGTACACTGCATTGTCTGTTTGCGATGGCCCTGAGGCACTGGGCTGCACAAAAAGACTAGTGTGTTTTATACAAGAGGCTACAATTGTTTAGTAACTAGTTTGCTCTCTTACTGCACCCTGAGGTGACTGCCAATAGAATCCGCTTTTTCAGATCCACTCCAATACAAACATCACAGTCCATTATAAACACCCAGGGGCATTCCAAAAGACTTGTACCAGTGCTGACATTTATATCAGCGCACAGGGACAAAAGGAACACTTGATTCAGGGAAGAAAAAAGAACTGAGGCATGATGATGTTCTGTGGCTGAAACAATTAGAAGTGAATGAATAATAAGTCTCGGGATACTGCATACTTACCATCAATCGGTTCCGTTTCCCCGTTAAAAACACTTAAACTCTGAAGATTATGAATTAAGTCTAGCTGTTTTACACTTAACATCCCAGCAGTTGTTTTACCTCATCAATCCCTCAAGAAGAGTTTAAAGGGGACAATCATTAATCCTAGAGCCTGTTTAACAGTAATTTCAACCCTGCAATTTCCCAGCTGAACATATAGTAAATATTTTATGATTGTACTTCTATTGCTTCCAGTGGATAAACAAAAATATATTCTTTATACCAAATTGGTGATGTACAATCGGCTATTAAACAAGAATTACAAGTACACTGTTTAAAAATCATTGTTAACCATGTAAATAATCCTATACAGAGAGGGCAATAGATACTGTTCATTAACCTGGGATTCCTTGAAGACTCAATGACAGCTAATTACTGTTTTATGGGAAGTAAGCAGTTCAAAAATAAAGCAATGAAAACCTAGTGTCTTTCGACCCTTGATCCCTTCTCAAACATTAAAAATGAAAGAACGGACTGCGGCGCAGTCAGATGGAAAAGCAAAAAAGTCCTTAAATAACTGAGCAGATATTATTGAATCTGGTCGCTATTTTTTTTCCTAAACAGCAAAGGCGATTAAGTAATACATTTCTTTGGGTGTGGTTTCTAAACACAGTTTAATGGTATTTTAATTTAATACTCTGTAAAAAATGCTTTAAAGGAAAGCAATTATTTCTGAAATACAAAAACCAACAGCATGCACCTGCAGGACCATGGCCAATGCAGACACAACATTTCAAATGTACTGAATTTGATTTTTTTCTTCTAAACGAAAAACGAGGAACAGATCACATTAAACCCCTGACGCATAAAGTTCTGTTTTTATAGCTACACTAAGGAGATTCATTTTTTTGTACTTTTCTAGTACTCTGCCTATTAGTCCACTCCAGTGTTTTTTTTTTTTAATATGCTATTTCTACTGCAACAACCTGTCAAAAGAGTACATGTAACAAGAAAGGAGTGGACTAAATACAGATGCTATAATGTGCTCCTTCAGCAGTCCAGGCAAACATTTCAAATGTTCCATCTTATTCGCTGCTGTCTGTTAAGGATATAAGTGGTTTCTTTTAACGTTTCTTGCGATTCCAGTGTATGAATATCAAGACGCTGCACTGTGAGGCTGTGCGACCGTCCTAGTTAGGCTCCATTACTCTTGCCTGAACCTGACAGCAAGCCTTGAACTCCTTCGCTAAGTAGCAGGGATCTGCAGGCCTCCCTCCCTGGGTGACAAAGCTCATTAATCGTCCGAGTCGGTGTCGTGGCGACGCTTGTGGCCACGTGCAGGAGGGGATGGGGCTGGCTGCCGGCTGTCGCGGTGGTGGGCCCCGCCAGGCCGCGCTGGGGGAGACCCCCTGCCCGAGGACGGGTCCGTGTCGTGGCGATGCCTCCTGCCAAAGGGGGGCTGCCGCTCGGCCTCTGCCTCCCCCGATGAATAGCTGTCACCGCGCCCGGCACCACTCTGCCGCCTGGATGATGGATGATGGACCTTTCTCCTCCTGAGGAGCACACACACACAAAAAGGGAAAAACAAAATAAATGAATGAATGGGGGAATGAAAGAAACAGAAAGAAAGGAAAGAGAACAGGACAGGTCAGCTTGTCTTATTAGTGAAATGCTCCCTTCTTTCCCCACCATAGAGAAGAAACACAAGTGACTTGCAATGGGCATACCACTCAATCAAATGTTTCTACAGGGGGGAGTGCGTGTTGCAGCACACACATTTTCAAATGCTAAAGGAAACTGCTGATGGTAAGCGCCGATAAAACAGCACAAAAGTTACTTGCGTTCAGCGCTGAGGAAAGTAACTTTTTGAAAGTAATCCATTACAGCCACAAGTTTCTCATGTAAAGGATTACTTTGTAAAATGAACAAGCAAATGGGGAAGGTAACTTTATACAAATCGGCAGTAACAGTGATTTATGTAGTGTGCACACAGCGAATATTTAAAGTAGTACATTACCTTTTAAAAGCAATTTCCACAACATTATTTTAAAAATGTAATTCCTATCGCAAGAAACTGATTTATTTTTTTTAATGAATAAGAATGGATTACTTTTTAAAATAGCTTTCCCCAAAACAGTTTACGTTATCAAGTTATCTATCCTTTCCTTAATGAATTGGGAATTTTTCATTTCATTATTAGTCACCAATCTGGATCACACTACATTGAGACATCATCTCACTATAATCTAAGGATTATTAGCAGGATTTAGTTATACCTGTACATAACCAAAACCCACTCAGATGATGAACAATAACCTGGAAAAAAAGTTACATGATAAAGAAGACTAGGTTGGCTGCAAAAAGAAAGATCAATGAGACAGTGCGAAATTTCAATGAGAAATTTAAAAAGGTAGAGTTGTCTGTGTAGGTGCAGAAAGCAAATAAGGTATGTGATGAGAGGACATGAAGGCAAATTCATTGGCAGGATGGGACAATTTCAGAATTGTGCCACTGAAGTGAATTGAAATTTGGCATTCCATTCTTCTTTTGATAAGTCAGCATTCTGAAGTGTGTAGACACTTTTAGAAGACTCTTCAGATTCAAAGACCCAGTTTGACCCAAGACTACAATTCTAGCACTGTGTAACAGATTAAGTGTTTCTACCAGGCTTTTAAGTTCTTCTGACAGTAACCTCTGGCATTATGTGTGAGGAACACTCAATTCTCTCTCCTTACTGTATTTTAAACTGAGAAAGAAACATGTGCAAAAGGTGAAAGAGGGCTTTATAGTGGTTGGATACAGAAAGCAACACTCTCTTACCATTATAAAAAGCCTTTTTGCACCCTCTTCTGTCCATACTGAGACTCTGAATTACAGACATGGAATCACTATGAGCACTGTTAAACCTTGTATATCTTAAATTGCACATTACCAGCAAACTACTCATTTTTCCATAGGCCATTTGCTTAATGATGGTGGTGTGGTCCCTAATGGGTACACAAAAAAATTATCAGAACTGAAAAAAGGTGCAAGGTGGTCTTGTGAAGCTCAGTGAGACCCCTGACATATTTAACTTGAGCAATGCTGGGAGAAAAGTGGTGCACTTGTTAGCTGTGAGAAGAGAAGTGTAAAGGAAAGCGGCTTCAATTCAGTGATTTTTTTCTCTGACGTTTTCAGTTGAAGTTCTCTGTTGATTCATGCTGAGAGCAACAAAGCTTTTCTAGTTTGTTTCCTTCAGAAATCCTTTTATAAGCTGCTATTGGCCTTTTAAGATTTACATTTTAAGATGCCACATAATGATAACTTATATTAAACCACAATGAAGCAATATTGTTCCACTATGGTCAAATCCTGAATTCTGAAAATTTATTTTGCATTTAGAATATCTGGTTTTCTCAGGCTTTGTTTAATTTACATATATGTAGTGTTTGCATTATTTTTTCTAACAACACCACATTTCCACAGATTGATATCACACTGCAACAGGAAAATGGTCAGAGAACAGCAGACAAGAAGGAATACAGCTCCATCTAGCGTACTTTCTTGGTAACAAGGATCAGAAGAGAGATTACTGAGTTTTGTATTTCAAGAGATATATCAAGAGTTTTTTTAGGTCCCTAATCTTTTCCTAATATCCTGTTATTATGTCTGATCAGACACTAGTATGAGGAAGCAAGTGTAACCTGTCATATCAGGCAGCTGGAGTCTATCACTTCAGACAAGACAAGGCCAAAGAGCCTACAATTCCCTTATAAAAATATCAAACTCTGTCCAGTATTGAGTGTTCCCATTTTATTACCTGACAGAAAAAAAAACAGATCATGGCATAAAACATAAAATCTAACTTGTATTACTATCATATAATGTCCCACATATCTTATGAACACTAAGGTACATTATTGAACTTCTTAGTCTCCATCAGTTTCCATCTGTTCTTCTTTGAGATTGAGGCTATCCTCAGCAAAATAACGATAGTGTAGTATTCCTAACTGCTATTTTCATAGTGCAAGCCTCTACTGCTTATATTAGATTCTTTTGTTAAAAAAAACATTGGAAGCAAAAAAAGAACTAAATAATGTTAATAATTTTATTTTAGCAAAAGCATTAAGAACACAGGTGATGTCAAATTTGAATATTTTCCCAGCAAAAGTGAACTACTCAGGGATGGGTGTATGGTGCCCTTGGGTGGAGTTAAACAGTAAATGTAGGTCACAATAACAAAGGGCAGATATGGAAACTATCATAGTAATGAAAAAAATATTTTGTGTTTTACAAGGATTCTCAGTATGAAAGAATAAGGAATTTAAATGATTCACAGAAATCTGATTAATATTTGAAAGCTGCGCAGCCAAAAATATGTATCTCAGTAAGAATTAATTCAATCTTCTAGTGACACAACAGACAACGTAATGAAATCCATCAAAGCACGGTGGGTATGCATAACGGGGCCAAATACTGAACACGAAAGTACAATCATTAAGGATGGGTGCAAAACACATGAAGATAACCTGAGGTTTGTGTGCCTTAGGCACAGCAGTGAGGGCGGAGAGGTGGCACTGTGGCTAAGGATCTGCGCCTGTGGCTGGAAGGTTGCCAGTTCAAATCCCATGGCCAGCAGAGGAATCCTACTCCGTTGGGCCCCTGAGCAAGGCCCTTAAACTCAGCTGCTCCAGGGATGCCGTATAAATGGCTGGCCTTGCGCTCTGACCCCAAGCTTCTGTCTCCCCGTCTGTATGCCTGTGTGTCATACACACAGAGAGCACGCTGGGGTATGCGAAAAAGACAAAATTCCTAATGCAAGAAATTGTATATGGCTAATAAAGTGATCTAATTTTATCTTACTGACTGACATCTTCATGCAAGGCATGATGGTCCTCTTGGAGGTGTTAATAACTGGAAATCTGTTATTTTATAACAGGCAAGTTTGGCATTTCTCAAAGCATGTCAAAGCCCATAGGGGTTTGGTGATTTCTGTCTTTTGCAGATCGTTGAAGAGCCAGCTCCTGTAACAAGAAACTGTTTTCTTTCAGTGACCCCAAGACTAATTAAAAACTAAGCAGTGGAAACATTCAGTAATCCCACCACACAGGATGTCCAGCACCATAGGCAATATCCACCCATCTATTTTCTGTTCGCTGCTTCTAATTTAGGGTTACGGAAGCTGGAGCCCATCCCAGCAAGCAACAGGAGCAAGGCAGGGTACCCCCTGGATGGGACAACCGGCCAACACAAGGCAGCAAGACACAAACACAAAGACACACACACACTCACACCAGGGATAATCTTCTTATGGGCCATTTAGCCTACCAGTATGCTTTTGTACTTTGGGAGGAAACCAGACCACCTGGAGGAAACCCACAGAAGCACAGGGAAAGGGAGAACATACAAATTCTCCACAGATAGCACCTCAGGTCCATAACTGAATCCAGGGCCCCAGCACTGCGAAGCAACAATGCTAACCCATTCGCCTCCCCTATAGGCAATATCATTCCAGCCATTCTCCATGATTCAGAGTGAGTCCTGATAACAGACTACATATTACACAAAACTATCAATGGAAATATACAGCAAATTTGAGGGGAAAACGGAGGAGAGACAGAAGAGGCAGGGAATATTGTCCAAAGGAATGCTTGTGCTTCACAGCAAAGCATATCTATAATGTTCCTATGTTACTCAAACCCCATTCAGAAATAAAACTTCAGAGCACCTAAATCAGTTGAATCATATCATCATAATAAGGAACCTTGTCTCAAGAGTTATTTTAAGTAAACTGATTAAGCTTAAAATCTGTAATAGTATGTATTAAAATTTTAAATATCAACAATTCACAGCTAGGTTATGAATCAATATTATAAACTGAAGGACAGCATTACCATAATTTTAGAAAAGCAAAGAGAGTGTAAAGCAAAAGATAATGTAGATAATTATTTTATGCTGTTTAATGTTGCTGGCGCTTAAACTGACAAAGGCAATGCAAACTAACTGCTCAAAAACTTGCTAAAATGTGTCTTTGACTATACCTCATAGTAGCACACTTACACCAAACCCTCTGAACATAAAGACTAAATTCACAGCCAGAGATATACAAGCTGGAGGCAGAAACAGGGTTACCTTTTGCTGTCATCATCAGATTCCGACTCAGAGGAAGATGAATGCCTTTTGTGGTGCCTGGTCTTCTTTTTTTTCTCCTTCTTCTTTTTCTCCTTTTTACTTTTCTTTTCTTTTTTGCTTTTCTTTTCCTTTTTGCTTTTCCTTTTGTCCTGCAAGCTAGCGGCAAAACATCAAAATATGTTTATTAGCATACATTACATACATACAGCGTATCTGTACATTGTGGGAGAGCACAAAACATAGAACATGAAACAAAATCTCACAACTCCACATAAAGAATACGAAAACTCTACAGAGAAGGTACCCCTAGGCCAGAACTGATCCTTCAACTCAAGAACTGTGAGGTGTGTGTGAATCATCCATAATGAAAAGTCCACCAACCAGCAATCTGGTTATGTTGACTTTTTAAAAGTATACTATATGAAGGATTTCATTTTAGACTGTGATGTGAATAAATGTACCTTTCACTAGACATACCAGACTCTTGTTTTAACATGGTGGGCATCAACAGACATCTAACTGAATTATTTTAATTTCTAACACTTGGAATTTTTCTTTAAATTATAATAGTTTAAAATTTTTTAAAACAATTATCTATTTCTGTCATTTGTGAAATGTTGCTCAATAATTGAAAAAAGACCTATATAAAAGCAAACAAAACCATTAATAATTTTTCCCTAGAATATGTAGGTGGGTCCCTGAATCCCTCTTGGGTGATTTTTCAGTTCAGCTAAGAGAATAAGGGAGCACACTTCTAGCAGGTCTGTGAATGTTAACTACACAGATAGTCATCTGCTACGTTCAAGGTCAAGAGTTTCAAGCAGAGATGTTACGTAGTGGTCAGGAGCCGATTCACAAGGGGGATTTAAAATCCACTACAGAAAATTATTTAAACAGCTTTCTTCCACCAAATAAGGCCAGACAAAAACAACCCCTTACATTTAAAGATTACTACTCTTCACAACAGGGACTGCTCAACTCTTCGGAATCGCTCCTCAAGCCAAGCCTTGAGATGACTAAAAGTGTGCTCTTCTTTGAGCCAGAGCAGAAATGTAGAGCCAGCACAATATCTACCAGCACGCATGGAAGCATCAAAAGAATTAGGAATGAAAGCATTTCATTTGAAAGAATTGAGGAGACGGTGAGGAAAGTGAAGTTTTACCTAGACCGAACACCATAGCACAGTTAGTTTAACTGAATAACTTTGACCAGAAATTTTTACAGACAAACCTAAGTCAGTGTGTTGATTGATATTTTTGTTAATGCTACAGTCAGTATTATACCTTTTTTTTGCTCAAGCCAAAGAGAAATTAATCAACCAAGCAGAGAAGCACAGAGGAATATTCCTTCCACCAGGACAGGAGATCAAAACCTTCATCTTTGCTTGTTTTGTGAACCTTCCATCCACAGTATAACTGCACTTTATTTGGATGGCAAAACAGTGTCAGCAACTGAAAAACCCTCTGCCATGGATTTTGTTCCCCCTTTGCAGGTGTTCTCTCACTGAAGATGTCCCAGAACCTAAAAGCTATGGGAGTCTGCAACATGCAAAATGTTCAGCTGTCATTTCAGGAGGCTGGTGGTAGCATTTACTCATCCAAAAACTGTGAGAGGCAGTGTCTGACATTTTAAAGATATCAGGCCAGTGATGCTTCTCTATAAATGCTGGAGAAATAACAACTTTTAAGGCTTTCAAAACTCAAATCATTAAGTCAGTTCTCATCCCCCTCCTTGAAATAGACCAATTCCAGCCTAGTATAAAGAGTGTTCCAATCAATGCGTCTAGTGCCTTCTATTAAGTTATACTGTTTGAAGCAAATCACATTGGCTTTCCTGGGGCCATGTAATCTAGACATTTCCTGGCTGAGGCATTTCAATTGGTTGTGCCATGCAGCATGGTTTTAAACATGCTAATGTTCAGTTGTCTAAGGGCTCTCAGAATGACCATGATATTGCCCTCCTGCTCTGGCACATAAACTAATTTAACATAGATCACCCAAATTAAAACTCCTTAGTCAGAGTATTATGCTTGTCTTCATGTTCTCTGTTGCGTCTTATAATACATTTTCCCATTGAGTTGTACAGGTCTTTCCTTGGGTTTCCACCTGCTGTTCATGTAATGCACAATCACAAAGAGGTAACTAATTCTGTGGTAATTCACCATCCACATATCAAATGTGATGTCTCTGTGACCTATTTTTTCCCATATTTTAAGCTTGAGAATGAAACTTTGAAGAACTTCTTGAGTCTACTTTATTGTGTTTCCAGAAACAGCAGTTAGATCAGAGAGCAATGTAACGATATCAACATGCCCCAGCTATAGTGGCTATCAAAAGTGTTTACCCCCCGTGGATTTTTTATTTTGTTGTGTTACAATGTGGAATCAAAATGTAATTAACTGGGAGTTTTTGCCATTAATTGACAGTAAACACAAAATTAAATTAAAGTCTTAAATTATTTATGAATATAACTGATTGCATAGGTATTCACCCCCTATGAGACAATATTTGATAAAGGCATGTTATTCAGAAATTACAGCCAGAAGTGTTCTTGGATAAGTTTTTTACCGGCTTTGCACATTTGGATCCTGCCATTTTTGCCTATTCTTCTTTGCAAAGTCACTCAAACTCCCTCAGGCTGCCAGGGAAAAGTTGGTGAACAGCAATTTTCAACTCCTGACACAGATTATTGATTGTATTTAGGGCTTTGACTGTGCCACTCCAGTACATTGACTTTTTTCTTTTTAAACTACTCCAGTGTGGCTTTAGCTGTATGTTTTAGGTCATTATCCTACTGAAAGATGAATCTTCTCCCAAGTCCCATGTCTCTTACAGATTGTGCTCCCTGACTACTGCTCTTCTCACACGGATACTCAGTTTTTGAGGGCACCCTGTTCTTCAAAGTTTCACAGCTGTGAATTGTCTACATTTCTTTATAATGGATTTAACTGTGCTTTTGGGGATATGTAATGTCTTGGAAATTTTCTTATTCTCTTACCCTGATGGGTTTTTTTCAATAACCCTTTCCCAAATTTACTTTGAAAGTTCCTTTGTCTTCGTGATGTACTTTTTGTTGGGAGCTGTGCTAATCAACTTTGGGTTCCTCCAAGAGAATGGTATATTTATCCTGAATGCATGTGAAACACCCTAATTGCACACAGCTGGACTCCATTTAACAAATTAAGTGACTTCTAAAGACATTTGGTTGCACCAGAGCCTATTTAAGTTCGTCTTAGTAAAGGAGTAAAGGGGGTTAATACTTATGTAGTCTCTTATTTTCTGTTTAATATTTATAATTAATTTAGGAAGATGTATATAATTTTGTTTTTGCTTTGACATTATAGAGTGTTTTGTGTCAAAATCCCAAATAAATACATTGTGATTATATATTGTAACACAGTTAAATGTGAAGAAGTCCAAGGGGGGTAAATAATTTGGATAGCCACTGTAATTCTCAGAAGCTCTGTTACCTAATTCAAAAGATTTTACAGACTTACAACATACTTCACTGCCAGTTTTGTTCCTGATAACCTATTGCATTTCCTGGGAATCCTTAACTCATGTTTTTTAAGGAAAATATAGGCACATTTCTCCATCAACTGGAATGGAGCTGCACTAATGATTTCAGAATGATGAAATTCCAGTTTTTATTAATTTTTCAAGCAAATAATCCACTTAATCATTTTTTTAATTCCTGATTAACTCACAAGACTAACACACATCTCAATTTTCCTTGGAAAGGTTAAATTTTGGCTATTGATCTCACCTGCTGCTGACATGAGAAGCAGAACCAGGAAGATGTTGAATGTTGAAGAATGAACAAAAACAAATGGCAAGAATACCAGTCAGTCCTTCCCAGTCACGTCAAAAACATAGTCATTTTGGTGTTGTTATATACGTTCATAACTCAAGACAAATTCACAGCAATCACGCTAGTTGTGAACTTTTTCATATTCCAAACTCAAATCTAACTGTCTTTATAGGTTACCTGTGGTACACAACCTGATGCGGAACTGTTCTTACCTTTGGTCTTCTGTGTCAGTGTCTCTGCTCTCTGTCTCCCTCTTCTGATCGGAGATCTCCTGGCATCCTTCCACTTTATGATGCTGTGAAGTCGTCAATTCGTTGTTAAAATATATATTTTTTAATAACATAAATTCTTAAATTAAACACGTTTTTTTTTACATTTGGCTCATCCAGCAGATTACCTCACTTTCACGTTCTGAGCAGGCTTCATCAAGAATTCACTGTAATACGCTGTATACAGGCTATTGTATTATTATTAAAGCAATTAGAATTTGTTTATTAAAGCATGAAGTGAATTTATATAGAGAATCCTGGGTTGTCTTTTTTTAAATAAATGTGTAATAACATGGAGGAAATGTATCATTTCAGTTTAGTTCTCCATGTCCAGTTATTTACTTGAGGACAGAAAGATCTATCATCTTAATCCAATTACATTTGGGCTAGTTATCTGATGATATCTTCTCTAGTCACACCAACAAAGAGCACACTCACTGTGAAGACAGCTAAACCCAGCTTTGCAGCTTCCCTGTCCTGCTTGGAAAGCATCACTTTACTGGAACTGAAGCTGCAGAAAGAAGCAGACAGAGGGTAAATCAAAGCTATCAGAACCTCCTCCCAAATCGATCATAACAAACATTGTACAAAAAGGAAAACAAAGCTGCATCACAATACACTATGTGCTCAGTTAAATGTTCTTTATACAGTGCCTTCAGAAAATATACATCCTCCCTCGATTTTTTCACAATGTGTGATGTTACAAACTCAATTAAAACAGTTGTATGGTAATTTGTTTCACTGATCTACACAAATTATTCCATAATGTCAAACTGGAACAATTGTTCTGGATTTTTTTTAACGTGTAAATCAATAGAAAACACAGAAATGTGTTTATTTGATAAGTCTTCACCTTTTTTGCTATGAAACTCCAAATAGTGTCCAGGTACATTCAATGTCCATGTGAGATCAAACTTGAATATTGACTCCACCTGTGGTCAATTTAATTGGTTTAATACTAGGTGGATGCTGCACACTGGTGGTAGTGGAAGGGAGTCCCCATTACCTGTAAAGTGTTGTGAGCGGAGTGTCTAGAAAAGTTCTATATAAGTGTAAGCAATTATTAAGAAATGATAATGATACATGGTGTAGCTTGGCTCTACGTAGTCCCTTTCTGCCCTGCAAAGTGGGTCAGAGGTCACTGTTGATTGCCCATAGGGACGAGGTACCTGCAGTGTGGGTACCAGGACAATACCTGATAACATCCTAACCAATCACTGTGATGTCGTACCTTAAAAGCTTTCGCCCAACTTATTTTCATTACGTCACTCATCTTGCATTTGTAAACCCACTTTGTGGCTGATCAACAAAATTTGAAAACAATTTTAACAATCTTAAAATTTGAACAGTTTAAAATTTATCTTTGGCAACATTTTCAGTATCTAGTCCTCTGGAACGCTTTGCAAAGTTTTCTCTTCTTTCCACATTGAGACACTCCCAGCACAGGGGCACAACTGCCAAGTTGGACCACAGACCAACCCAGCCCAGCTCCGTCAGCAGAAGGTTTATGATACAGTCAATGTATTTTAACTGTGAAATTATTAACTCTGATCTTTGTAATCCCTGAATGCATCAAATAAATGCTTCAGTGTAATATCAATAAATTGTACTGTATATTAAGAATTCATGTGTGAGTCTATAAATTATTGTGTTTTACTGTTCCAATTTCTAATTGCTACATCACAACTGCAACCCTGTGTTGGATAAAGTTAGAAAATTAGAAAATGCATGGAAGATAAACCATGCGGACAAAAAACCATGCAGCAACTGCCACAGGGCTTGATGAAATTGATTCTTCTAGAGTCAGAGGATAGACGCTGCTTTCAGATACAATGCAACTCTGAGACCATAGTCTTCATAATTGCTCCTTATCACAAAAATCACTTTAAAAAAATCACTGCAATAGAAAACTAAAAACTTGTTAATTGTGTTCTCTCTCCTTAACATATTTAGTTCACAGAGATGGGACATATTTTACAAGTCAGATTCCTTTAAATGTCCAAAGGAACCTCACCTGGAACTCCCAAGACCTGAGACTCTGTCTACATCCCTTGAATCATGATCCGTACCCTCCCTCCGACACACATCAGCCAAGTCCTGAGAATGAGAAAGAAAAAACAGTTTGAAACCTATTCAAAGCTCCAAAAAGATAAAATTGTGATATTTAAAAAAGATGAATAGTGCATTTTAAAATATAATAATGTAATAGATTTTGCTATGTCCCACAGTTTGCTTTCATAACATGCTTAATTTTAAGCCAGATTGTTCACTTTTCTTTATATTTATGTTTCACCACAAGATTCAGTACTCAGAATGCTGTGTTCAATCAGCTAAAATCTCAAAACAAAATTTTAAATGTAAAAAAAACACACAAGTACCCTAATAGCTTCTAAATGAAGTCCTATGTGTAACTGAAGAACTCTCAATGCTATATAAATAAAAACCTGCTGTGGCATCTACAACTAGCCTCTTGCAAGTGCTACACTGAAAGCACTGTGATACAAAAGACTAACATAAGAGTATAACTTTTTAATATGTAGGAATCAATAAACAAGTGTCTTTAACACAACGTGTGCTGTACTCTAACCAGCTTGATCATTTTTTACCAGAAAATAGCCCAGTCCATATCCATATCCTTCCACTTTATGATGCTGTGAAGTCGTCAATTAGTTTTTAAAATAATGGGTTTTTTATTACATAAATTCTTAAATTAAACACATTTTTTTACATTTGGCTCATCCAGCAGATCACCTCACTTTCACATTCTGAGCAGGCTTCATCAACAATTCACTGTAATACGATGTATACAGCCTATTATATTATTGTTAAAGCGCTTAGAATTTGTTTATTCAAGCATGAAGTGAATTTATATCAAGAATCCTGGGTTGTTTTTTTTAAATAAATGTGTAATAACATTTATTTAAATTACCATGTGTAATAACATGGTACGCATTTACATGATAGCAACAACTATGCTTATATCTTCTTACTAACCTCTTTGGTAAGACCAGTAGGCTGTCTTTTCACATCTTTGTAACCTCTGCAGAAGGAAGAGAAAAAATAAATTGTATAACGAACTTAGTGAAATGTTTAAAATGTATGGTTTTTAAAAATATTTACTTAAACATCAGGGGCAAGTACAATCGTTTTTACCAATACTGTGTCTATATTTTAATATTGCCCACAATTTGTAGTTCATGGGTTTTTGTTTACTAAAAATATGAATTAGCTATGGTTTACTTCTCATTTGGGGTGATATTATTTCTGGGTGTGATGGCAACTGAAAAACCTGTCCTGTGTCATGGCACCTTGAGACTTGGCCAGAAAACAGCTGTAATGACGGTTGCTTAACTTTATTTAATCTGTTGGCATTATTACAGGAGCAGTCTCAGCAAAATGGACAAACAGTTTGGAATTTGGACCTGGGTCTGTAGACCAAATTAACTCATTCTCTAGCTCAATAGAAAGACATTACTGCTGATTGCCGTGTAAACTATTTAATGCTTTACTTAAAATGAATTGGGTTTTGTAACATAGTGCTGTCAGTAGTTAGTGATACCTGGATCAGTCAGGATCTCGTTAGGGAGAGGTACACCACCAAAACTGACAAAATGTGCTTCAACTGAAATGAGAGAGGTGGGACTAACAGCGGTGAGCATCTGCCCCTGCATGCATGGAGAGATGCACCTGCCCTGTTCTGACAGGGCGTGACTCACAGAGCTGCCATCAGAGCCTCCTGCTCCGCCTGCCTCACTGCCGCCAGCTCCTCCTCCCTCGACAGCACTGCCTGGCCCTTCTTATCCTTGGCGTACCACGTCAGATCCCGGCCCTTCTGCCAGCGGCCCACTGGTGCCATCAGAGAGTTCCCTGTAAGGGCACAGCAGAGGGGACACCATTCAGGCCTTTGACAAGCATGACAGACCTGACTAGGAGTTACATCAAGTGTCTTTTGGGGGAAAAGGAATATATGGGCTGGACCTCACTCTCTTCTGAGCTGCAGCAGATACCGCATTACTATTACTGTATTAAGTGGTTAGTGTAACACAAGTTGGTTCTTCTCTACTAGAACTTGAGACCTTCTTTTCTTTGATAAAAAACATGATATAACTAAATTAATACAATACATAATTTTGGACATTTGGGAAAAAGAAATATTGCTGTAGGCTTTGTATAATGATGTTGAACATTGGAACTGTTACATTTCAAAGCTCATTTGCCCTGAAGGTGAACAACTGACCCTTGCACAGAGGAAAAAAAAAAACACTTTTCTTCAGCAGACTTTCACTTTCAGCAGATTTTCACTGTTTCTCCCTGGATGTGAGGGGAAATGTTTTATGAAACAGGCAGATACATTTGGGCAACCTATTCCCCTAATAACTTTAATGAAATAGTTATAAGTGGAATTTGACTTCGGGTACTGTAGTCATAAAAAGCATAAGGTTACAAATGAGTGTACCCCATGTTATTTAGAAGTTGGTAGCTAATTAATCTAAGGATCTTATCCAACCATTTCATGAACGAAGCCAGGGTTAGTCTTTAACCATATGCTTGTTCCATACTCCCACAACCCTTGTGGTAAAGATGTGCCTCCTATACTCAGTTTTAAATACACCTCCACATAGTTTCTAGTTCTGTTCTCAGATTTGTGTTTCACCGTTTATTCTGAAGAAATCTTCTGAGTTGACTTGGTTAATGCATTTGAGTATTCTGAATCTGGTCTCCTCGTAACCATCTCTTTCCAAGACTAAAGAGACTCGGTTCAGTCAGCCTGTCAGTGCAGGACATTCCCTGAAGCCTTGGAAGCCCGAAACCTATCTAGTTGCTTGCCTCTGGATGTATTCCAAAGCAGCAATACCCTTTCTTTAACTTGGTGACCAAAAAACACAATACAGTTTTAACCCAGTATCCCTTTATTTAAAATCTACTTTTAACTATATATCCTAACATTTCGTTTATAGTTTCAATTGCATGTCAATATTGATGTGAGTCAATATTGATAAAATGTTAATGATGTGTCAACATAAACACTTAAGTATCTCAAGTACCCTCATCTAACTCAAAGCGTTTTAGATTTTGTATTTAGACTTTTTTTCTGGCTGCGTTACATTAGACGTATTTTTAATAACAGACTCGCAGCAACAAGGAACGTTACTATAGTATAATGTAATCGAAGTGGTGCGGGACAAATGGTTTTTCAAGAGCCCTGTTCTTCAACGGATTTCTCTATGGTTCAACAAAGTACCGACTGAAGAGAAATTGAAAATATGCTTAAATGCAAAATGGTCAATACTCTTGCTCAGCATTACAAAGAACTCACTCTACCGATGGACAACCCAATGCCCTTAGGAAACGTGTAACTTGGGTATCTGACAGAGAGGATCGGCATCCCATCAGCTCAGAGAGGGCGATAGACGAGCCGTGAACGTGACCTAGTCAATCGAGCTGTGTGGGCGAACTATATTTTTAAGAGAAAGCACAAAGATTATGAGATGAAGGAATATCGAAAAGAAAAAGGTAAGAATCGCAACTGTCAATGTGATCACCCTATCCTTTAATAATGCTCCTGTTCCTTCTTACTCTCGGAGAATTCCGGCTTTACAACAGTCACGAGGTTGTAATTAATTCGGACCACGTTGCAGGTTTTATTAAAAATATATTTTCTGTTATGTTTATTCTAATCTCCGAGTAAAAAAATGTCAAAAAAACATGCATTGATGTTTTATTCAAAAAGAGGAAGTACATCTTGCGAAGTTTGCTTTGTATGTGCATGACTTACCAAGATAGTTTTCTCTGTGTTTGTCGCTCTTCACATCATCCCAGTTGAATTGGTCTTGGCCACCTCTCACGCCACCGGATCTCGAAGAACCAAACATCTTTTTTGTATAAGTAAAATAACAAATTTCGGAAAGCCTTAATAACAATACTATTTGGCTACATGCGCATTTCTCTATTGTGCGGCCTGTTCAATCCGGGGAGTTTCCTGTAAAAATACTCCGGGTTCCTTCAGGTTTAAGTGGCTTTGAGCCAGGCTGCTGTTATGGGTAGAGGAGAAACCGAAAGTCAGGATTCTGATTTTTAACATAAAATAATGTACACATATACGGTGTAAATTATGTGTCCACGCGATTTCTTGACTGCAGCGTGCTAGACTGTTACTAATTCAGCACTGGTTATCCGCGGTCTACTCTTCGCCACCACTAGGCGCTAATTCTTCCCTCCGCCTGCAGTCACTGCAGTTCTGACTCCCATTTCAACTAAGCTAGGGTTTGGCTGAATGTATGGCAACTAATGTTGTTCATCGTAACTGAGAGGTTACAATATTTAAGTACGCACATAATACATAGGTGCTGCATTTAGTACGTACACAATACATAGGTTCTGAATTGGGTAATAAATGGTATGCAGTAGATTAAGTATTGACATCAATGACGCTAAATGTAAATTGCTTATTCGTTATCTATTTTAAATGAGCTTCATTTTATATGATTTTAAATTCATCCAGTTTATGTTTTAAAGCAAACCATTTTACACAACTGTTCTAATCAGTAACCGTGTTGTATTCGTCTGCTTTGCTGTTAATTATTCATTACAATATTATTGTTTAAAATAACTTTTACTAAGGTATTTTTTAGTTTGAACTGTTCTTTCTTTAGCCTCTCATTTTCATTTTCAGCCGCCTTTTTGCGCAGTGGTGTATTTCCCTGCAGCAGTCACTGACAGCTGACGTGTATTTGTTTTGTTCTGCTCTTGCAGTCAGTGCCAATCTGGAAAGTATGAAGTCGTTATGTGGCTATAATAAGCGGTCTGCTTTACTGGATAAAAATAATCCCTAGTTATCTGAAGAAACGCTATGTGTTTTCCCGATAGAGGGAGCATATTCGTAAACGAATTAAACTAGAATGATTCAGAGGTGGCTAATGGCATCGGGAACTTTAATAGTTAACACTGTCATATACAATTAAATTTAACTAACCGATATGGTGACACATGGCAAATCGATTTATATATTATATGGTTGTTGTAACGCATACATTACAGACACGTCTTAATTTCTATTATATTTATTTTAACGGTGTTTCTTTTCTAGGCTTACGAAATAGTTTGATATTCAAGTGCTACAGTAGGATTTATAACTTTAAGACGCGTAGACGCGACGAGTAACCACAGCAACACACTGTCTTTGTCTCACTGTGATGACGTCGAAGTACAGCATCGTAATTTAATGGAGCTCATGCGAGAATACTACAATTGCGGAAAGGGGAAGGAGAGGTGGGGAAAATAGTCTTGAGCTCTTGTGTTACATCTATCTCACATGTATCAGAAGATTTTCTCCAGACTTCTTTCAGGTAGGCTCGAAACGTTTATGAAAGAAGACTTGCCTTTCATTATTCAATGTCGTACAGTACCACGCTGCATTTGAGGATGCAAAAGGCTTTTGCGTTGTCTTTTAGAGCTCTTCGTTTTCAATATTTTGAGATTAACAAGGTAGTGTATACCCTAGCGTAAAACGCTATAGTTAGTTTTTGTTTTCGGTTTGCTGAGAGTTAATTAAACTAGAGTTGTGTATGTGTAAGTGTACTAAATGGGATGTTATTCAAAAGGCACGTTGCGCCCGGTGAAGTTTCTCTTACTCTGTTGTTCCCGTTTCCTATTATCTCTCCCCCCGTATTGACTACAGTTTCATTGATGGTCGCATGTAAGTGTTTTGTTACTTATAGGGTTAACTGTAATAAATGGCCTTTTTGTTACAGGTTTGTACGTCCAGCTGGTTGTTTGACTTTCTCTTGAGATTTCATGAATTCTGTGCTTTGCAGGATCACAACTAAGGCAAGATAACGCAAAGTTTACTTTTCTTCCTTTATATCAGCTGTGACTGATACAGGATTTGAGCTTTCCCACAGCTTCCTGATAAGGATAATGTACCTAGTCAGCGCCACACCTAGGCGTGAATTAGTCAAACAAAAAACAAGAGTGGAGGAAACGGTGAATGCCATTTTAATGCTTATGATCTCCGCGTGATCATTCTTTGAGCCCCAAGAAGAAATCCTTGTGGAAAAAAATTAAGAAATAGTAACCAAGATCCAGGTGGGGCTGCACATTGGTGGTGGTGGAGGGGAGCCCCATTACCCGTAAAGCGCTTTGAGTGGAGTGTCCAGAGAGGCACTATATAAGTGTAAGCAATTATTATTATTATTATTATTAAGATCCTAAAGCTACACAGAAGACTTTATGTAGTCCGGGATTGTCTGAATTTTATGTTCTGAACCTCTTACTGTGATTGGTGGAAGTCCAATGTATTGAACTATTATCAGACGTCTACAGTATCTACAGGTCCAGATGATCATAAGTTATTTAGGTCTAAACAGGACTATTTTTCACATGATTGACTTTTAAAATGCGTGCAATGCAAAGAACATACGAGTCTAACATTGTTCGCCACCCATGTAGTGAATTTTGTTTAGAACATATGCATGAGAGGAGACTATTCTGTGTGAAATGGTCCCCTAGGTTGAACCTATCTATACAGGGTTTTGTATTCTAGGATCAAATCGCCTCTCATCATCTCTCAACAAAAGACTAAATAGATTTTGCTCCTTCATCCTGTCTACTTTTGACTGTCTCTTAAAACCAGTCATTTTTCTATTGCTCTTTGAACTCTTTCTAAGGCTATACTATCTTTGAGGTCTGATCAGTACATTTAGAGCTTAATATACTTAAACTGCTCAATATTTAAACTTCAGTTTTTGCCATGATTTTGTCCAGTCATTCATTTAGCCTTTTTGTTTAAAACATTTACATATAAATCATTTATTCAGCAGCAGACAGCATGTGGCTCTTAATGAATCACACATGATGAACTCCGTCAGTGGGAAATATTGATCACATGCATTTAATAGTAAAGTCATGATTTCAATTGTTTCCCGTGGTGTTTGACCTAATTGTGAAATAGCTTTTTTTAATTCATTGAGTATAAAAACTCATGACAGGAAAAAATCCTGACCTTGTGTCCAGATGAACTGCTGCTAGGCAGAGTTCAGATTCCTGTTCACATACTGTATAAAAATCATGATACAGAAATTGTTACAAAGATGAAAAATAAAATTGCACTCCCAGGTTGGTTTTTCGTGCTTTTGTGAGAGGGCTTACCATAGTAATTGAACTGAACTGGATCTGTTTCTGATTTGGTTTCATTTAGTGTGAAAAACAACATGGCAATATGCTGTAGATTTACTGTTCCTTCTACATGAGTCTTGTTCTTTTCTTTGATTCCAGCCCTGCATTAGTGTCTGCAGTACATCATTTTAGACCCTAATCTAATTAGATCTTTTACTAATGTATGACATTGTGGAACATATGTAACTTACCATAATATTGCCATGATATTACATTTTTACCTTTGTACCAGTACAGCAAATGTCTAGCTAAAATTGTAATTTAAGCCTATAAATTTAGCTTACCTTATCTTTATATTCCCTTTTAAACTCTGCTATAGTTTGGGCTTCTAAAAATTTTAAATGAGCCACGTCTGATGGGCTACCTCTGAATTCACAACATGTTTCATTGTCTTTACTATATTAGGTACATCCTGCATTTTGCTAAGTGTGTCTCATCTCATTCATTTGCAAAGTACACTTCAGTTGTTCTGTTAACTTATGTTAACTGTGTCCAGTAGCATTTAATGAATAGAATGTCCCACTACATCGGCTATTTTAAGAACACACGGCGGGATTCCGAGAGAGTCCAGAAGTCCAGTTATTTTGTAGGTCAGCCCGAAATCCCCAGTTATTTAGAAATTAGGGTCATTTAATCAAATAAGCAAATGATGATTCAATGCAGGGCAGCACAGCGGTACAGTGATTAGCACTGCTGCCTCGCAGCACTGGGTCCCTGGGTTCAGTTCCAGACCTGGGGTGCTGTCTGTGTGGAGTGTGTGAGAGGAAACTTTGTGTTCGTGTGAGTTTCCGGTTCCCTCCCTCCCAGAAAATGGATGGATGAATGTTTCAGTTAAGGAAACTCTGGTCCTTGAGGGCTTAAGGATGTTCTGATCTTTGTTACAAGTGCTCAGTAAATTACATAAATAAACACAACACCTGTTTGATTGATTATACTGTAGATAAATTGTTTCAGAACTTTAAAAAAAATTAATGGTTTGAAGGCTACCTTTGAAACCTGGTATACACTGCTTACAAAAAGATCATTTAGCCCACCTAGCTTGAGTGGGTGCTGGTAGCTAGTAGCTAAGTTATCCAATGATCCTATCCAATCATTTTTTGAAAGGAGCCAGGGCATCAGCTTTGAAAGCATGGCCGGGAATCTTGTTCCAGACTCCTACAACACTATGTGTAAAGAGGCACCTGATATTGTCTGTTTTAAATGCAATTCCTTTTTGATCCTCCGGTTAATTCTCAAGACTTGTGCTAGGTTGGCTATGTCTATGTGTTTGAGGATTTTTAACTCTTGAATCAGGTTCCTGTAGTCTTCTCTGTTCAAAGCAGTTTTCAATGGTCACCATTAGAAAGAAAGAATTTGGCAAAGTGGGGATTAGTGGGTGTGTTCAGTGATAGTCTCTGTGAGTTTAATACACTTGCATTTTTTGTGAACTTACAGGTTTCTTTCCGAACATAAGATGCAAAAGAAAATATGGTTTCCCCTACCTCACATTCCACCCTCACCCATTACCTGGCACCCTCACTGTTCTCTTCCTCCAAGTTTCTAACAGAAATACACTCACACAACAACACCTCAAGCCCCATGCCAGTCTATATAGTTTGGACTTGCAATAATACCAAATACACGCAGCTACATGGTTACAATAGGCTCCAGCTCCCCCATGACCCTGAATTGGAAGAAGCAGTCAGAAAATAATGGATTTTGTTACAGACTACTTTGACTTTTTTACTAATAATACTCGGTGAGAATAGTGCAGTGCTTGCTTTCAAGTAAATGAGGCTAGACACAGCCTAACTGATATAGTCAAGTTAATAATCTCATTTAAAATTGGTACCACTGTTTGTCAGTTTGTATGATCAGTTACTGATTTGTATAGGTAATAACCCAATCAACAAAGCTTTCAATAATCAGTCTTCTGTTAGATTCACATTAATACACTGCAAAGTTTCCAACGTCACATCACAGCCATTCAGCAATGTGCTTTCCACTTGACTTTGCTTGCAGAGGCTGCTACAGTATAGTAAAGACTCCTGAAGCAGAGATTAAGCCCCAAATGCTTTTGAGTTAATGCATTGGCAGCTACATTCAATTGTCGCAGCTCTGATTTTGACAGCTCCAATTAGAAATTTCTCATTTGCGTAAGAAATGCTTGTGTGGTGTGCAGAGAGAATAGGACTGTCATTTGCAGGTGTTGGGGAGGTCACCTTTGTCTTTCCACTCAGGGCAAGGTGTTTGACTGAGATGATTTTGGAAGTCATGCACTTTTGCATTCTGCTCTGTAACATGTGAGTAGTCTGCTTTCATCTTATTTGCCTGGTCTCACAATATGCTCAGATACTTTTTTTTTCTTTGTCTGTGAGACCAGGATGTGACGGAGAAATATCTTTCCCTACTGCAAGGCTACAGAATGCATTTTGTTATCAAATGTTTTTTTTTTTTTTAACGTAGTGCTTGCTTTTATAAATCAAACACTTATGCAGAATTTCAGGGGAGAAGTTTTGCCATGATTAATTTTCCTGCTGCATTTCTTTCTTTTCTTTCCTCTTTGGCAAGCTAAGCATTTCTACAGAAAAAGGATGTCATAGACTGTGGAGGAAGTGTACAGACCCACTGGATAGACAACATGAAATCAAACCCATGTAACAGTGGAATATCTGACAGTGTTTTCTGTTATTCTGCTTTGCAGGGGTTGTCGGGTATGGTGTTGCCCTGGTTAGATTCTTCTAATCTCAGATCAGCCATGAAGGGGAGCTATCTAACTTCAGCTGTGTGAGATGCAAAGAGATACATTTTTTTTTCCTATGCTGAGGAGAACACAGTTTTTCTATACTGTCTGCTGTGCATGATTAGTTCGAGGGCTAGTTCTAGCTAGAAAAACACAGTTGACCTCCCAACATTTCACAGCGCAGCTACACAATTTTTTTTTATTTCTGAACTTTTATCGCCCTACTCCCCACCTCGCAACCTTCGCTCTTCTAATTCTGCTCTCCTTACTGTCCCCCAAGCCCGTATACACTGTATGGGTGACAGGCCCTTCTCCTGTTATGCCCCCAATCTCTGGAACTCTCTTCCCAAGGATATCAGAGAGTCACCTTCTCTAAACTCCTTCAAATCCAGACTCAAAACCCTCTTCTTCAGAAAAGCCTTTACTTAACTGGTTCCATTCTTCACCCCT